TCCCGGGAAGTAAAGGCGGTCGGCGTGATGCTGACCACATCACCCATCTTGTGCCGATTGGTCTATAAAAATATAGGTGGTTATATGCCCTATACGCCTAAAGGCGAGAAAAAGGGACCGTTATTTACTTGTCTAGTCTATATAATGAGATGGTATGCAGTCATAGACCAGTTGCTAAACCATAGCCTGTCGGGTGGAAGGTCCGTGGTTCTAATCTACGGTTGGCATTTATTGATCTTTAGAAATGAGGTCACATCTCCTAACACTAAAGACTTTTTAAAATGTGTTACCTGTATATTTTTCTGATGAAATTATCTTTATTCTGCCTTTATTCTGCATGAATCGTAAAAAAAAAAAAAACAAATTGGCAGAATGTGAAATATTTTACTGAATCTATGATAAGCCCCGTTTCTCTAACTGGGTCTGTAGGCATGGATTAAACAAATTCTTTTTATGTAAGCAGTGGGTGCTGGAATATGGAATAACAGAGAAGAACTGTAGTAGTAGTAGTAGTAGTAGTAGTAGTAGTAGTAGTAGTAGTAGTAGTAGTAGTAGTAGTAGTAGTAGTAGTAGTAGTAGTAGTAGTAGTAGGAGTAGTATTAGTAGCACATTTTACCCCACTAGGATATCACACAAGCGATAAGCACCCGATGACATAAAGTGCCACTCTATGGATGAGGATCACCCGTGGAGAGGACGCAGAAACCGCGTTCAGCTATTAGACCATATTTATGACCGGGCTATATTTGAGGCCCCTGGCAAGAGCCAGGGTAGGGCTTCAAAATAAGGAAAAACTGCATCTCACAGTAACAATTCCCCCGTATGGGTTCCATGGCCCTATTATAGGGAAAACAAGAATAGACCCACCGCCTACCCAAAAGCATGTCGTAAGAGTCGACTAATTGGGAGCTTCCTTCGAAGTCGAAGTGCATCTGCCTGAGAGGCAAGGAACCAACAGTCTGCACACAAGTGTGCCAGATCTGTCAAACGGATGTACACGCAACACCCAGGTTCTGGAACAGGACTGCAGTCCAAAAATGGACGAACAGCCAGAACTTTCCACCAGAGTTTACAGCTGGTGAACGCAAAGAAGAAGAAGACAATAACATCATTAGCAAAGCAAAGAAGAACTGACTGACTGACTTTCTACCCCACCAGGACATCACACAAGCGATAAACACCCAATGATCACCGTGGAGAGGTCCCAGAAATCGCGTTCAGCCATTAGGCCACATTTATGGCCAGGCTATATTGCGCCCCTGGCATGAGCCAGAGTAGGGCTTTAAATAACGAAAAATTGCAACCTAAAAAGGACGGCAGGATATTAAGAAGAAGAACTGTACTGTCTTCACGACTTGAAGCGTAAATGTCCCTACCCATATAGTTGTCAGAATTGTCACATAGTGATAATTTTTTCTTTATTTGTAAAATTGCGGGCAACATTCAAATATCCCAAACTTCAGCCCTTCAGATTTACTTGCGAAATGAGGAAGTGTAAGCAAAAATTAGGACGTTTGATGACAACCCTTTTGCGATCCGTATCTGGGCGGATTTTTTGTTGTTGCTAATATAATAAGTTAGGATCTTAGTTTGACTCAATATAAAATAGATAAAAGGAAATGACATGAAACATAATGGCGGCCGACATGATGTTAAATACTTTATACATAGACAACATTCTGGCTGCAGTTCCCCGTGTGGGTTCCGGAACCTCATTGTAGAAAAAAAAATTGACACACTGCCTCCCCAACAAGCATGTCGTAGGAGTCGACTAATTAAGGACATTCTTTGAAGTACATCAGCCTGAGATGCAAGGAACCACAAGTCTTTATACACATAAACCAGATATGTGAAGCGGATGTGTATGCAGCACTCGAGTTCTGGAACAAGACTAAAGTCCGGAGGCGGACGACCACTCAGAGCTTTCCGCTGGAGTTTACAGCCAGTGAAAGCGAAGCAGAAGAGTCAGAAGCTTACTTACTAAGTCGATCCTCTTAAACACTGAGATTATAATATATTTTCCGTCCTTTTCAGGACGACATTTTTCGTTACTTGAAGCCCCTACTCTGGCTCTTGTCAGGGGCCGCAATATAGCCTGGCCATAAATATGGCCTAAAGGCTGAACCTGGTTTCTGGACCTCTCCATGGTGATCCTCATCCACACGGTGACACATTGTATTATCAGGTGTTTATCGCTTGTGTGGGGCAGGAAGTCAGTCAGTCAGTTATACACTGAGGTATAGAGGTTTTCCAGGGGCGACTTGAGAGCCGAGGTCATTTAAAAAAAAAAAACGAGTGTCTAACCGCTACACCGTGGAGGCTCCCACTATTGGTTGTACTGACCTAGTTGTGTTCTTTTTTGCCATACTAAATGCATAAAATCACTCCTGCCCTTTTCTGTCTCTCTCATAAGAACGAAATACATGCCACAAAAGCGCTTCATCAACAGGGAAGTCTATCCTCAAGCAGTTCTTAAGTGTCAGAGCCCTTAGTAATGACATTTTATCAGTTACGATCACAGCGAAACTGTTACACGCTCGCAGACATGACTATCAGAAACATGCGTAATTGAAGTATTGGCGTTGTCGGTACATTTAGGTCACATACATCTCTCATCTGTATGTGTACAAGAAAGGGTTTTAATGACTCTTGAGTTGTATCATTATTTCAGGAAGCTAATTACTGTAACTATTTGCAATAAATATGGCTTATTACAAGATTTCCCCTGGTTTAAAGTTCATCGCCCTGACAGTTTCCCCCTGAACAAAGACGATCCCTGGTTGTAGGGGAAGTAGTCCAGCAACGTCAGAACTAAATATAGAACATCTTGTCATTTCTATTTTCATAAAAAACTACAGATAAATGATTAAAGATATTAAAATACATTTAAAAATGTATAATAAAAAATATTATGCTCAATTATTTGCAGAAATCTTGTAATCTTTGAATAAATTCTAAAATGAAGAACGCACTCTTTTGTTGTTTTACCACCCTCGACCTATAATGCTATGAACCTTCCCATGGTGCGTCGCTGCTATCTGCAAGTTTTGTGGGTCGTCGGCTGACAAGTTCTGATCGTGTTGACAGCTGGCTTCACGCCTCTTTATTTCACCCATAAATTAACATTATTAGACTATATTGGTAAGAAGTTGTTCATAAATATTGTATGTATTGTTCTTGTAAAGTCCCGACCGGGTTTTATGCCGCTTTAATAGAATATTTGTCAGAAATATGACGGATACTAGGTCAAGCCTCCACTCGCTCCACTGGCCGTCCACCATATTTTTTCCATTCACGAACAAGGGAAGGGGTTTTACGAGTGACGCACTTGTCTTGTGTAATTCGAGCTTGTAATGGCAGTAATTGCTTGTAAAATGTACGTCACTAATTCAGAATGTTTTGAGGACAGTTGAAAGATTTCATCATATTCCTTTAATTAATAAATACTGAATTAAGAAGGAAGACAATGATGGTCTAGCTAAGATGATTCAAAAGCGTCGCCTGAATAGACAGACTACTGACTACTGTCTTTAGTTAAAAGGAATTACATTTTACATCCGCATCATAAGAGAAGCACGCTGTGATTATAATACTATAATTAGACTTTCATTATTCTGATACATTTTAGTAATTGTTTATTTGTTGTGCTAAACTAAATCTACCTTTATATTATTATTTCATATTTAATTTTCTATAATTAATTTATTAGTCTATACTGAGTATACCCTGCCTTATATCTACTTACTAGAACCATTCAGCTGAGTTTGTTCAGGGGTCAGAATGTTAGAAAATGGGGCTCTCCTCCGAACTTCTACTCCCCGCATTGTGGCGGCCTGAAATATCCTTCCAGGGCTCAGTCCAGTTAAAAATATGCGAACTTCTGGCAACGAACAAATCGTGGCAAAACTAGGATCAGCTCCGTATAGCGAAACAAATGCTCTAACAGGGTCTCAGCGATATGTTAATTGCGGACCTGTTTCTGTGACTAAGCCTCACCGCCGACCGTATCCCCCGTGTCGCTACGTGCTGCGCGGATGGGGGCTAAACTAGATGGCTGGGACTCAAGAGCAGCAGCTACCGCATCTCCTGCAACTTCCTTCAATTAATTTGCTCGTGAGTCCCAGGCATCCAGTTTAGCCCCCCTCCACGCGTAGGATACTGTCGGCGGTAAGTGTAACCGCGTTTTGCGCATGCCAAAATGTTTTAGGACAACGATGACGCTAATCTGCGTCGGCGCACATGGTCTTCCCGCCATGTCTCTTTTATCGTCTGCGGAAAAGCTCAAAAGTGTCAACGGTCGCTGTTATTGTCTGCAGTGTTGCGTCTCTTAACATTGTCAGGTAATCAGAAACAGTAGGAAACAGGTCGCAATTAACATATTGCTGAGACCCTGTTAGAGCATTTGTTTCGCTATACAGAGCCGATCCTAGTTTTGCCGCGATTCGTTCATCGCGCGAAGTTCGCATATTTTTAATAGCACTGAGCCCAGTACGGATATTTTTCGGCGCCATAATGCTGGGGTAGAAGTTCAGAGGAGAGCTGAAAATGGTGATCATTGTGGTCCAGAAGATGAAGCTTCAGCGTAGAAACTAAAAAAAATAAGACTTTAATAATAGTAATACAATACAACTGGCCGGTGACTTGTTGCCCACACACTTGGCCACCAGTTAAATAGCCCAGCTCTTTACTTATACTTTATCAACCAAGCAGTCACACGCTTATAAATTTTAAAATCATGACTTTAACTGCTTTCAAACTTCTAAGCAACAAAGCTTTCCTGTAAGATAATAAATAGAAAATTGGTTAAGATTTAAATTTGTATTGAAAATTAAAAATGCATTGTTAACTTATTTCTTAATCTTTTTTATTTGAAAAATGTAATGTTTGAATTATAATGTGTTAAAATTGTTCTATTTCAGGTAGCCCACATCTTGCCCCAGTTTCCCCTTTTGTTATATTTTTTGTTTGAAAGTGATTCTAACTGCCTGGTCAAAGATAAGCAGCATACTGGACTCACAGTCATCCAAGGGTGGTGTTTCTCCACACTTAGGAGGACGGTGAGTGTCAACTATTACTACTTGCTCCTGCCCTCTGCTCCGCAACTCCTTTGTGTCAGAAATATAGTAAACCCTTAACACGTACTTGATTAACACTTCGCCCAGAAAACTTTAAACAATTGGGCCATGACACCGTTTGAATTCCAGAAAAAATCTAAAAACTACGCAGGCTTTCTCTTTAAAATTTGTAAAAATATATGAACGTAAGCAGAATGAAATATTTTATGGCATTTCCTAGGGTCTAAAAACGTTTTTCAGGTGACTCTTGACCTGTGACCTCTAACACTAAGGCTTATAAGGAAAATTTGACCACTTGGCTTTGAAAAAGCTGTTTATCTTAAAGGTAAAACCCATAATGTGAATGAAGATACAATGGAGTGGTTTTCAACCTTACTAATGCTGCGACCCTTTAATACAGTTCCTGATTCTGTGGTGACCCACAGTTATTTTCGTTACTACTTCATAACCTTATTGTATATCTGTATTCCACTGGTCTTAGGCGACCCTGGTGAAAGGGTCGTTCGGACCCCCCCCTCTTAAAAAAAGGTTGCAAAGCCACAGGTTTTTGTTTTTGCCTGCACTAGTGTGCTGCCTGAGATTCTCTTTGTGCAATTAATGGAAGACAGCTGGAATGCTAATAGATACTCCTGCGCATTCATAGTGATCCTTAGACACACAATTACCCACAGATTAAGTATGCAATTCATATAAAACAAAACAACACTTTTGAGGTCAGCATATATGTCTAAACATACCAACTCAGTGTCACTTAGACCTGGTGGGGCTGTTCACACAGCCCTTATTTTTTGTTTATTTTTTTGACCTTTGTTTTGTGAGTTGTTGACAAAACAAGTACTACAGGTTTTGTTCAGTGTTATATTTAGCTGATAAAAAATGTGATGTATTTTATATCCTCCAGAGCTGGAAAGAAATAGGTCATATAGGTATTGTCGTGTGAAGTGTATTTTTGGCAGTCTGGGGTGTTTAATACCCATGTGGGTTCCTGGACCCCATCTTGAGGAGTGGGGGAAAGGGCTGGAATAGACCTAACAGGGCAGGAATCCTAACAGTTGGGTAATAAAAGACGACCAGTTAAGGCTTAGCTGAAGTTTTAAAAAGGTGCTGCAGTTAACAATTATAATCTGTAAACACCGTGATATGACAAACTGCCCTTTTAGTGGTAAATGCAGGAGACGTTTATTTTACTTTAGTTTCAGAAAGGCATGTTTTCGTGTGGGTTCTGGGGCACCATTGTGGGGAAAACAAGAATAGACCCACTGCCTGCCCAAGAGCATGTTGTAGGAGTCACTAATTGGGAGCTTGCTTCAGAGTACCTCTGCCTCAAAGACAAGGAAACAACAGTCTGCTTGCAGATGAGTCAGAACTGTGAAACAGATGCACACACAGCACTCAGTATCTGGAACATTGTACAGTCTGGAAGTGGATGAACAACCACAACTTTACGCCAGAGTTTACAGCTAGTAAACGCCAAGAAGAAGAAAAAACAAAGCTGGCCACTGACGTTCAAGTGGTGGTCTTCTTCTTCTCCTCCTTCTTCTCCTCTTCTTTTTCCTCTTCTCCTCCTCCTCTTCTTTCTCCTCCTCTTCTGCTTCCCTTGTTCGCTTTCTGAGACAGTAAGATAAGTTCTTGTGATAAACTGTTTTTAGGAGTGTCACTTTTAGTGGTGAAATAGTGACTAGCCATGTAGGTTTTGAGAAAGGATGAACAATTTCTTGTGTTTGGCGGTCACTGCTGTAAGCTTTGGCAGATCAACACTGGTTTTCATCTACTTCTTGACTGGTCTTCTTTTAGAACTTGAGTTTTGCGAGCACGATCAGTGTACAGATCTAGCTTATATGCAGACTGTTGGTTCCTTGCCTTCTTAGGCAGAAGCACTTTATCTTTGAAGGGAGCATCCCTAACTAGTTGTCTTTTATGACATACTTGAAAGGAAGGCAGTAGGTCTATTCCTCTTCCCCTCCATCCAAATGAGGCTGCATGCTTGGGGTATGGTGTCCGCCTTGTGTGCTAGAGGTCCCAGGTTCAGGCTCCTGTGAGGGCTGTGATTATTCCACGTAGACTAGTAATTTCCTCTGGGTAGTAAGATTGGACACCCATGTGTATTGTTGCGCATGAAAAAAAAACCCTTTGGCCGTTGGAAATATAAAAGAGCAGCCTAACGTCCCTGTCCGGGGAAAAATTTGGAGTAACAAATTTACCTAAAAGTGTTATAGGGTCCTCGCCGGTGCTTCGGACGAGTTAAAACGGAGCATAAATTAGTTACTTGTGTGCCATGATGTTGATCTGTTGTTCAAACTTCCCTTCAAATGAGGCACTGGAACCCATGACAGTTTAAACTTCCCTCCAAATGAGGCACCGGAACCCATGACAGTTTAAACTTCCCTCCAAATGAGGCACCGGAACCCATGACAGTTAGAGTTTAAACTTCCCTCCAAATGAGGCACCAAAACCCATGACAGAGTTTAAACTTCCCTCCATATGAGGCACCGGAACCCATGACAGGAAGAGTTTAAACACATGTGAATCAGCAGCAGAAATGACTTCTGGGTAGTTTATAATATTAAGGTATGCCAGTGCATCTTTAGTGTCTTCTGTCCACATTCTCAGAAGCCTGCCTCTGCCTTGTTTTGTGAAAACAGTACCTTCTCCATTACTGTTTTTTCAATGTCACCATACATTTAACATGGAAGAAAACCTCAGCTTTCAGCCTGAAATTACATAACAGGATATCAGCCTGGGAAATTAAGTAAATTTTAAAATCTGCCTCAATGCGGGCTTATATCTTTTACTGCCAGGGCAGTGTGCTATAAATACCAAGACTTTTATAAAAATTGTAAATGAATTTGAACATTGTCTGCATCTGTGCTTTGTGCTCTTAGGGACGAGAGACCACCCACTCTCCAATCCAGTTCTGGCGCATCATCGCAAACAGCAAACACTCGATGGATTCCGCCCAGTACTCAACCCAGGGATGGTCCCAAGCTCAAAGACAAAAATGACAACATCTTTAGGCGAGTCAGAGGGTAAGTTCTTCAGCAACCTTTTATTTGCTTCCTTGTTTCCATCTGTTTAATGCCGTCTGTTACTCTATCCCCCTCTCATCATGCTTGTCTCACTTTTCCTTCCTCCTATCAGTTGTCTTGCCTCCCCCCTCCCTCTCTTTGCTTTTTCTTCTTCTTCTTTCGTTCGCCTGAAATAAGTTGTCTATATCAGCAATTTTGTCTCTTTGTATAAATTTCACTGTTGTTAATTCATTCAGTGATCCATAGAGTTTACGTTCCACTGTTGTTCTTTCTGGCTAAAAGGTTTGTCTCAATGTGTCAAATTTGGTGCAGTCCAGGAGTACATACTCTGCTGTCTGGGGCACTTTTCCACAGGTGCACATGGCTGATACGCCTATCTTGAATTTTGTGTATATGTGGTTACGTAATTGGTTGTGCCCTGTTCTGAGGAGGAGGATAATTACTTGTTTTGATTTGTCCATAAAAAATAGTCGTCTTGTGCTGGGGTTGGTGGCTTCCTGATTGATTTAATGATTCTTTTCTTTTGGTGGTATGTGACTGGTACATCCGGCTGCACTTTTGTCGCACCTTCTCCTGCCAGTTGATCAGCTTTCTCGTTTCCAGGCACTCCACAATGTGATGGTATCCACTGCATTACAACTCTTTGCTGAAGGCTAAGTTGTGTCAGCAGTGTTTGCAATTCTGGTAGATTCCTAGACTGGGATGCTTCAAGTACTGATTTTGCGCCTGTCAGCATTACCACATACTGTGAGCCAAGATTTGTATTTAGCAGTTTCTCTGTCGCTATCTTGATAGCCTGAGTTTCTGCATCATAGTTATGGCAGTACTTTCCGGTTAGTACGCTGGGAATTCTATGTACACTCCAGCACCACCATTTCTAACTGCACTTTCTGCGAACCCATCTGTATAGACTCTAACCCATTGTTCTTGTGGGTATTCTTCATCAATATAACTGAGGGTGGCCATTCTGCGCTGTACACTATCTTGTTCTTTCTTGTCAAATATTCCTTATTCATTTGTTTAGATTTTTACTGTTAGTTTGCATTTCTCTCTCCATGGGGTTTGTTCTGGAATACTGTTAAGTGGACAACCAATTTCTGGAAGGTCAGCAGTTTGTCTACATATTCTTTTTGCTTGATGTATAAAGCTGCTTCTTTTTAACCGTCCTAAAGCTAGGTTCTGAAATCTTTTTTCATGGGGTGATCTGGAATACTGAGGAACTTTTCAGCTTGTATTTGCAACTTTGTATCTCTGCGTTCTTTCAGTGCCTGTGTTCTCCCAGCTTTCTCCATTTCTAATATGGGGGTTGATTTCATCCCTCCTGCGATGACTCTGAGTGCTTGATTTTGCACTTTGTCCAACTGCTTTAATGTGGTACTTAATGCTGAACACCATGCAGTTGACCCATATTCAAAGTGTGGTTGTATGCTCTGCTTGAATACTTTATTGAGTATTTTCCCCACTGGCTTCCCATGTGGTTCCGCTTAGTTTTCTTAGTATAGCTGTCTTCCTCCTGGCTTTGGTTGCTGCCTTGTTGTTTTCTCCATGTCAACCTGTCATCAAATGTGCTTTTTGTTTCATTGATCATTTATTTATTTTCTAATTTCTTGTAGATGTAAATGAGACCACGCTTTCAGGAGTGTGCATGCACACACACACACTACCTTGATAAAGCATGAAATCTATCTGTATTACAAATTGTGTGCATGAAAATACATGAAGCATGTAAGAACCACTGATAGTATAGCTCTTCTCCAGCCTGTTCTTAGTTCCAATTTACATTAAACTGGATTTCTTTTATAGAGGACCTTTTCTCCTAGGTCGACCCTAGAGAGATCCCTAAGGAGTGTTCCAGGAGCTATGGAGTTCTTGCTTTGTGCAACCCTCTCAGCAGATGAATAGCTGTTCTGTCATGTGATTCTCTTGTCTTAAAGTAAGCAATGGATACATTGCAGTCAGCCTCTATTGAGGATGACTTAAGTTAGTAGTGGGTGCATTGCAGCCAGACCTCCCACCCCCTCCCTTCCCTTACAATGTTAGGACAAAGATTTAATTATCAGCTGTCTCCCTGATAGTGAGAAATAAATTTACTGTGAAAGAGCGCAGACAAGAAAATTAGATTGAACACATTGGATGATGATCAGAGATGGTTGTAGCAAAATGTGTAGAGCAGAGCAAATATACACAAAGTCCCATAAGTTTTCTTACATAGGAGCAATAAATGTAGTCGTCATAACAAGAAGCGTAAGTCGCCTTTTCAGAACCCACTGCTGAAGAGAGCACGTAAAAGCACAGCTGCAGTTAAGCTTGTAATGATGTTGTATGTACGTTTGTTCCTGTGTATGGGGAAACCCTGTAGATGATGATAATTATGTTCAAACTACACATTGTCTGTCATGTTATTTCAGGATTCTCAACAAACTTACTCCAGAAAAGTTTGATAAGTTGAGTTTAGAGCTTTTAAATGTAGGGATTGAGACTGAGGTCATCCTGAGAGGAGTTATTCTTTTGGTAAGTGTCCTTAGTTGTAGTTCTCTTTAGTTTTATTTAGTCATAACTTTCTTAAATAATGAGAATCAAAAGTAAATGACAGTTTCTAAATGTAACAATGAATTAATGAAGTAACAGAAAGTGTATTGATTAGCACTCATAGAAAGAAGTAGAAAGATAGAAGAACACACTAGACAACATAAAAATCAAAAGCTATAGTTACCGTGCCGGGAATTGAACCTGTCACCCCCAGAGGGTAAGAAGAGACTAGATCAGAAATAAAGATATCAGGAAACACGTGGAGACAGAAGCAATGCTGAACTGTCAACTGTATCAGCAGACAAGGCTTCACATGGTGTCATTGGATAGAGGGCTTGCCAGCAGTGACGGGGGTCTGAATTCACTTCCTGGCAGTCAGGGTTGCACCTGCCTGAGATGCAAGGAACCAACAGTCTATCACATAGATAAAGGTAAAGCCAGGAGATGTGAACCAGCATCATTGCACGCGGTTATAAACCATAATTGCTCTGCTACCAGTACGGACAGCTGATAAGAATTGTCCGCCTGTGTCGACGTTCGCACGTAACTCTGTAGCTACAGCGACGTTCCTCCATTTACCCTAGAGTGTCAACCCTGGTACCCATTTCCTAGAGGCTGGGTGAACCCCGGGAGCCGCCCGGTTTCGAACACCGACCGTGGGCTGCATCGAGTCGCAGCTGGATTTGAAAGCGAGCTTCTTATTCGACTGTGCTAACGCGGCCCATCTATCACATAGATGTGCTTGGGAACCTTAGGTATTGGAAGAAGACTAAATGTCTGGAAGTCAATAATGAGGAGTTTACAGCTGGTAAATGAGAAGAAGAAGGAAGTGAGGGCAATTCTAGTCATCATCAGAGCGACTGAGAGCCATTCCGCTGGTCTATAGTTGGAGCAGTGCTTATCCAAGAATCTACTCTGTGGTAATGAATGGCTTTAAGCTGTATCACTCTTTATGCTGTTAATTTATTCAGTGTTCAGGAGTTATCATCTACCTGGTCTATAAATATATGGCGTTAGTTTCATTTACTCATTGTGTATTTAGTACTTTGTATATTACGGTATTGATTTGAGAAATGATTTGCAAATTACTTTACAGTGTTAGGCATCAATTTACACATTTTGTTTATTGTAATATTTGCTTTATTATGTGATTTGCTCTAGTGCTTTATACATGTTGAGAAGGATATAGATATAACAGTAAATTAAGGTTTTGATTAATTGATTGTACATTCGAGGTAATAATGATTTAAGTGATTATTACTTCTTTTGTCAATTTATGCTTCATAAATCATTGGGCATTAATTATTTTTATTTAAATTACATCCACAGATTTTTGAAAAGGCTTTGGAAGAACCCAAGTATAGTTCATTGTATGCCCAGTTGTGTCACAGACTATGTGAGGATTCCCCTAACTTTGACCCCCCAGGCAACCCTGTTACAGTAAGTGAGCCTTTCTCTTTTTCTGCTCCTTAAACAACCAGGGATGCACAGCTGGTGGTTCACCAGAGTGACGACCTGTCTACACATCTTTATCCTAAATATAGGATCCCATTTGGGAGCCTGGCCAGATGTTTCCCCTGAAATTTAAATGCATCTGCCTGAGAGGCACAGAACCAACAGCCTGCACACCAGTAAGACAGATTTGTAAAATTGATGCACACCTATACACTAGATAGAGCAAAACCAAAGTCTAGAAGGGGATGAACAACCAGGAAATTCCGCTAGAGTTTTTGCACTTGAAGGAATGGACCTCTGCAACATTAGATACAAAATGTTGAAGATGCATTGTCAAAGCAAATATCCCCTTGTGAGTTCCAGGGTCACATAAGAGTACACCCACCGTCTCCCCAACAAGCATGTCATAAGAGTTTGATTAGGGGCTTCTTTCGAAGTAGAAATGTATCTGCCCGAGCGGCAGGGAACCAACAGTCTGCACTCAAATAAAGCCAGTAAAATGGGTGTGCACTCAAAACTCAGGCCCTGGCACAAAGTCCAAATGGCCAAACGACTAGCACTTTCCACTGTAGCTTACAGCTATTGAACAAAAAGAATAAGAAGAAAACATAGTGATAAGAGAATTGGGCTAGAGAGAGAGACTTGGGGGTGCCATGAGAAGAGCCATGTTCTGTAAAGGGTCTGCTGGTTGATTGTGGCAAAGAAGAAGAAGAGGTGTAACCGCTAGGTGAGAGGCTTACAGGAGTGTGGTGTCCATCTCCAGTCTAAGAAATGCTGATACTAGTTAGTTATTTTTGTTACAAAATTCAGGACCTATCATTGTTATTCTTAGAGATTCCTGGAAAGTTGAACAGATCCAACCTAGTTTTGTGTCTGTTCAAAGTCCTTTGATAAATGAAGATGAAATACGCTTTCTCTTGTGGGTCCTGCAGTCTTATTGTGGAGGGAGGGGGAACGGGACAATAATAGACCCACTGTCTTCCCAGCAAGTATGTCGTAAAGTCGAAAAATGGATTCCTTCAAAGTCGGATGCATCTGCCAGAGAGGCAAGGAGCCAACAAATAAGCCAGATCTGTATATGGATTTACTTGCAAAACTCAAGTTTTGGAGTAATACAGAAGTCCACAAATGGGCAAACAGCCATAACTGTTTGCCGGAGTTTACAGCCAATCAAAGTAAAGAGGTAGGACTGATATATTGATGGGACAATATTTTCTTAACCCGTATTTCAGTATTCATAATTAAACTGAAAATTAAAGCATGCTAGAGAACTTGTTGATATACTTTGGTTTCTGAATTGTATTACTTTATGTATTGTTTTCTCTTTCCAGACTTTTCGGCGACTCTTGTTAAACAAGTGCCAAGATGAGTTTGAAAATCGTTCTCACGCAACAGAGGGTAATATATTTTCATTGATTTTATACGCTTACTTTTGCCTTTCTTTTCTCTTTCTTTGTTTGTGTGTTTCTTTCTTATCTTGATTAAATTTTTATTAAAAAATACTGCAGTATCTTTTCCCCTCTGGCGTGACGCTGACAGAGATTTCAGAAAAGGAGATAATGATGTAGCGAATGTGTGTTGAAAATCAGATAAGTGAGCATGAAAGAAAATGTCAGCCTCTTCTTTTTTTTCCCATTTTTTTCAGTATGAATGAACCAGTAAACTTGAAGAAATTTTTAATTCTAATGTCTAATCAGGACTTTTGTATGTGGCGGAAACTTGGAGAACAACTAAGGCAATTACTGATAAATTACACACATTAATTAACTGGTGCCTGTGCAGATTAGAGGGAATTAAATGGTATGAGGTTTTGGAGAGAACTAAACAGGCTCCAGTTGACCAAAAGGTGAAGAAAAGACACTGGCGTTGGATAGGACACACACTGAGAGAACAGCATAACTACAGGAGCATAGGAATAAAGTAGGGCCAAAAAACATGTTGAGAAGAGAGCTGGAGAGTGAATTTAGAAAGATGGGAAGAGCTCCATGTAACGGCGAAGGATAGAAGAATTTGGCGTGAGTTGGTTGAGGGCCTATGTTCCATTGGGGGATAGAAAGACAGAAGAAGAAGAATCAGTAATTGACATTACTTGGCTTAAGACATTCCCACACAATCATCTTTCTCAGTATCCAGAAAAGAGTTGCAGTGGTAATAGAGAACCCGAACCTGACTTAAAGTTTGCCCTCTGCTCACCTTTTTTCCAAATGAATTTTAGAATACTATCCGCTCATTATGTATAGTCAGTGTGAGAACATTTCTAGAAATTGCATTTGCTGTAAACTGATCGGTTAATGTAGTAATTTATTGCTGTATTTGACATAATGGATGTAAACTTTCTCTGACAGTATTTGACAAGAAAGATGTGCCGCTCACAGAAGAGGAGTGTGAGCAGTACCACATTGTCAAGAAGAAGATGCTGGGCAACATCAAGTTCATTGGTAAGTCTGACATGTGCCGCAGAACACCTGTAGCTAGGGTGAGTCTTTGTCGTCATTATCCTGGCTCTTTCTGGAGATGTTACGGCTATCTCACGGAGAGATGATGATATTTTCCAGGCTATATACACACAAGACAGCGTACTTTTCGACAGTCTTGGCTTTATTGATTCTGATTTTAGTTCTTTACAAACCAAGGCAGATGGTGCTCACTAAATTTGGAGATGGTTCATTCTTCTGATTCTTCTCCTTTTATGTTCCTAGCCTTTAGGTGCATTTCTGCTATTGCCTGCTTCATTTATATGATTTTCCTTCTCTTTCCATTGAGTGATCATTTGTTTGTATGTCGGTGTTATATATCCCCTATCTTCTTCTTAGTCTGCCTCGTGGTCTACTTCTATTTATCTATTTTGTGTATGCGGTTTTTGTCTGTTATCTGCCATTCTTTTCTATGCCAGGACCAATTTGGTATCACTAGGATTTAAAAATATTATTTTATTGCTACTGCTCACAGACTAGAGCAAGTTATTAATCTATGCCTTAGAACACTTGGCAGCCACATGTACACAATTTTTAATCGACGAATCAGCCATGGGCACAGTAGACAGCAGATTATGTCCCCCAAGACTGTCCCAAATACAGCATATCAAGGCAAAACTTTTGGCCAAGAGAAACATCGGTGCAAGTCAAACTTTACGGGTCTCTGAGTGAATTACAAGACAGTGAAGGTTATACTAGAGACAACATTGCAGACATAGAAATTTTTTTTTAAAACGAGCGAAAGAAGGAAAAAAAAAAATTTGCTACTGCTCATTCTATCATAGAGCAGACCTTATTAATTAATTAGTATTAGAAATAATAAAAGAGAAAGCATCAAAGATGCTGCATTTTATATTGATATATTACTATGGAAGAGTTTAAAAAAAGTTTTCAGCAACTTATTATCGTTACTAGCAACTACCGACAACTAGCAACAGTAAAATTTTAACATGAATTCCACTGCGAAAAAACTGATCTTTTAGCAAGGACTAACAATAATCCAACCCTGCTGAAAGCAAAATTTTGTTCATGTTAACTGGGTGTTCTTCTTAGATGAGTTTGTGTTTAGGGGGTTTTACTATATTACATATCATCTATAATATATTACTGAAGACGTATACATTGAATTGAGCTGTTCTGCTTAAGACTGTTAATGGATATCGTTGTTGTTTGCAGGTGAACTTGGCAAACTGGACATGTTGCATGAGGGGATTCTACACAAGTGCATCAAGCAACTTCTGGAGAAGAAGAAAAACTCACAGCTTAAGGATATGTCGGAGGACCTCGAATGTCTGTGTCAGATAATGCGCACCATTGGCCCGCGTATAGATACACCTAAAGCGCGGGTATGGCTCTCGCTGTCTTGTGATATTTTGCTGCTGATAAACATTCAGCAGAGCATGTATACACATAGTTATTTGAAACAGATGGTTGTATTTAGATTGCGAACAGGACCCATTAGACTCTTCAGCCACGAATACAAGAAAGTCCAGCTTGGAAGATTCAGAACTTTCTCCATCTTAGCAATCGCTCCAGAATAGTTAACATGCTGCTGACTTTCTCTCTGTGTGCAGATCCCAGGTCTGGTCAGTTAAGTCTTCCTGTGGAAACCAGGCTATGTGGATCAGCAGACATGCATTTACACCACGGCTTTTATAGAGGCCTATAGTCTTCTCATCTTAAAACCACTGGCAGGGCGAATGAAAAAAAACACAGCAGCTGAAGATGATGATATACTTCTTTCTCCTTGCCATGTGGCATTCAGACTCTTTATTTAGCTTCTCAAACGTGATTCTGCAATACCATTTAATTGCTTTAGTTTTATACTGGCACCACTTAATGTATGTTTCTAGTAACTATTGGTTTTTCATCTTGTGGTGATTTAGCAACAGGCTATTTTGTGTTAAGTTATACAATTAATGTCATTGCACATTAGGGTTTTCTCATGTCGGCTCAGTCACATGAAAGAGAAGATGGTGGACTGTTTGACATAATTTCAGTGAAGATCTGTCAGATTTGATTTAAAGTACGTGAGGCAGAAGGTTGAGGATAGACAAGACTACCAATGCCACATGGAGGGGATATAAGATAAAGGTAAAGTCGGGAGATGTGAACTAGTGTCATTGCACATGGTTGTAAACTATAGGTGCTCTGCCAGCAGTACGGACAGCTGATGAGAAGCTGTCTACCTGTGTCACCACCCACACGCAACTCTGTAGCCACAGCGTTTCTCCATTTACCCCAGAGTGTTAACGCTAGTACCCATTACCTAAAGGCTGGGTGAACCCAGGAACCGCCCGGTTTTAAGCACGGGCTGTGTGCTGCAGCAAGTCGCAGTTGGATTTGAAAGCGAGTCTCCTATCGACTGCTCTAACGCGCCCCTATAAATATAAGAATAAGAGTATACATACATTTTTCATCATCAGTACAAGACTATCATCTTTTGTCCATTACTCAGATGCTCATTGTTCACCACATTCAATCATAAAATAAAAATTCTTGATGATTAATTTGCTGTTGCGTCTCTCCTAGGCCTGGATGGATCAGTATTTTGAGCGAATCAACCAGTTTGCTATCAACAGCGATCTCCCGTCGCGTATTCGTTTTATGCTTCAGGATGTTATTGAGCTTCGCGAGAATGACGTGAGTATAAAGTGACAAGTTTAGTTGGGGATATATAGTGCACCTGGTGCTTATAATGAGAAGTGACTAGGTAACATTTCAAATATTTTGGATAAAGTTAAGAGAAATTAAAGTCCTGAGGTGTTCAGTGGAACAAGCTAATTTCTCTTGAAACCAGAGGTAGTATTAGCATACATACCTAAAAAGTCTTCTCTTCCAAACTTAACTGGTAAAAGAAATAGACATAAAACACAAGGAGATTACATGACATTGAGGTGAATTTCTGAGTGCAAGAATGGAGAGTTTACTTTTTATCTTGATATTTTGGGTTTCTGGAACCATGAAATGCTTGTTTTAAAAATGCAGCCTCGCCATTATTTGGGGTTGGACAAAGGACTAATGGGATCAGCTATTGGGGCTCGACATTTATTATTTAGTAAAATTTATTTGTCAGAATTCATACTCAAGGCTGACAGAAATTAAGCCGAAGTGCGGCAGTCTGTTTTTTGTCTGCAGGCCAAATTTTGAAATATCAACCTGGTCGCAGACCATATATAAACAAATCTGTTGAAAACTAACACCCAGATTTCCTTGTAACATGATATTTTTATAGGATAATCGTAAGAATATAATCCCTCACTACATCTCTAGCCAGACACACTCACTGACTGAAACATTTGTATATATTCCTAGATGTGTCTGTTCAAGTTGGTTGTGTGTTCTGCTGTGTCATGAATTTTTACACAAGCTCATGGGTCAGTAAAAATGTTTCGGTGGACCATTTCCTGCCACCCCTAAAATAAAGGCATTGATCATAAAGACGTGAGGCTGGTAAAGTTAATATCAGCTACAAGTGATAACGGAACTAAAAGAAATAAACAGCTGGAGATGCATTTCTATTAATTTTTGATTTATGTGTTAAAGCTGCTGTTTGCATCTAAAGTTTGACTGTTCTATAGGTCATCTGTTTTGTTGTTTTCATTCCCAGTGGAAGCCACGAAAAATAGCTTCAGAAGCAGGACCTAAGACAATTACTCAGATTAGACAGGAGGCGGGCGCTAATGTAAGTTTGTTTTTTATGTTGTTGTTGTCTGATGAAGCTTATCTGTAGTCTCACAATATAGTGAAGTGAATGTTCCTTTACACACCAGTGGTGCATCAGGTATGTGAGGTCAGTCATATTTTTATAGACCTGTGATTCTCAGACTTTGCACCATGGAGCCATGACCTCTTCCTTATGGGCGCCACAAAATATTCGAAGATACACAGATTTTATTTTGTTTTCTCTCACATACAAATAGTCATACTTTTACATAAGTTAGAGCGCAGCGGAAAAATTTCTTAATGCAAAAAGGCATCGGGACTAAGAAAAGTTTAGGAAACACTGTTATAGACCATTTGGTCCTCCATGGTCAACATCACGCCGGCGACCTTTACTTTCAAGGAGTACCCATTTGAGGCTGGGTCGACCTGGAAGGCTAGGTCATGCCTGGAAAAAAAATGTGACACTTTTTGGGTTGTAACCCATGGCCTTCTAGCCGTTACACCACCGCGGCTCTCGTGTTTTTGTCTTAGTATTAAAATAATCTTATTGTAGACGGTGCTGTCAGGGGAAGGCATCCTCTAGGGCCAAGCTGTTCGCCTCATTCTGTTGCTGGTCCATTTCACAGACATGTCCTTCAAAATGCGAGTTGAATTTTTACTGGGATCCTTTGGGAGCTGCACATATATGGCTACTGGGGGATAGAGAATAACTCACTGCCTCCCAAACAAAGAGGTCTCATACACTGATTATGGGCATTTTCTCTGAAGTTGGAGTGTTCTGCCTGAGAGGCGAGAGACCAGCTGTCTGTCTGCGATAAGCCAGATCTGTAATTCGAGTTCTTCCCCTTTCCCCCCATCTGCATAAATCAGATGATCAAATAATATACAAGAATCCATCATCAACTGGTAATTTGGTATCCAAAAATCAATGTGATGGTTGACAGTCTTGATGATGAGGCAGAAAGGAATACTAAGGAGGAGAAATTGCGCAGCTCAGTGTCCAAATTGCTTGCCAATCCCCCCACCCCTTTCTTCAATCTGCCACCCTCCCCCTCTTCCTTGTTGAAAACCACAGCTCTAGGGAAAAATTGACACCAGAAGATTGTCAAAGCATACCCGGGGGGGGGATCCGACATGTGCTTGGCCAGAATATGTGCAGGCCTGGCCTGAAATTGCGGCATCCAAATCTGCCATAGGACTAGTTTCACCTGACACTGATGGTCTTGCATTCACCTTTAGTTAGTTTTCCCTGTGTTGATTCCGGGGCCCCATTCTAGAGGAGTAAAAAAATCTCCCCCCCCCCCCCCCCCCCCCCACCCCCCCCCCCCCCACCCACCCCCCCCCCCCCCCCCCCCCCCCCCCCCCCCCCCCCCCCCCCCACCCCCCCCCCCCCCCCCCCCCCCCCCCCCCCCCCCCCCCAAGCAAGTCATAAAAGCCGACTAATTAGGGATGTTTCTTTGAAGTCAGAGTAAATTTGCCTAAGAGGCAAGGAACCAACAGTCTGCGGACAGACAGATCTGTAAAATGGATGTACATGCAAAACAAAGTTCTGAGACAAGACTTTAGTACAAAACAAGTAGAACTTTGCGGCGTTAAAGTCGGTTAATGCAAAAAAGAACCGCCTCTACTTAAATATTTTACTTAACCATGTGCTAAAGCTGGGGTTTGCTATTACAGGGTCCCCGTGGACAGAACAACCAATCTTTGCTACAGTCTCGCATGCACATGAACAGCATTCCTGGCAGTAACTGGAAGGGTGGCCTGGGAGATATCTTCAGTATGCCAGTTGGCTCTTTGGGTGAGTTGTCTGTGTGCAAGTGAGAGAGAGATAACAAATTATTGTTGTTGTTGTTGGCAGTCTCGCATGGACATGAGCAGTATTCCTGGCAGTACCAGGAAGATAGTGATCTGGGAGATATCTACAGTATGCCAGTTGGCTCTTTGGGTAAGGTGTCCAGTTGTTGTTCTTCTTTCTTCTTCTCCGCGTTCACCAGCTGTACACTCTGGCAGAAAGTTCTGGTTGCTCATCCACTACTGAACTGCAGTCCTGCTCCAGAACCTGAGTGTTGCGTGTGCATCAGTTTTACAAATCTCATTCTCTTGAATACAGACTGTTGGTATCTTGCCTCTCCGTCAGATGCACTCTGACTTCAAAGAAAGCTCCCCAATTAGTCGACTCTCACGACATGCTTTTGGGGAGGCAGTGTGTCTATTCTTGTTTTCCCCACAATGGGGCCCCGGAACCCACACGGGGGAGGCTCCAGTTGTTCTAAGCTTGGGTGTGTGTTCGAGGGAGAGAGAACACAGTATTGTTAATGTCTCCTTGCTTGGCTGTAAGGCCCAATTTTTTTAGGGGGAAAAGACTAGACCCACTGCACGTTTGTTAAAGGCTACTTACTAAGGATTTTATGAAATGGGATATGGTGGCTGAAAAGTGCAGACATCACTGACTAGCTGTAAACCATGATGCAATGTGAGAGGGACAACTGAAGGGATGTTTTGTTTTGCTTCACTCAGAAATAGGGTGCTGAGGGAAAGTAACACATAGATCCTAAACTCAGCCTTCCTAGATATGGGCAAAGAGGTTGGATGCTGTGTTATAAAGATACCTCTGCAATTATCAATTGTAATCCTAATGTGGGTTCCAGGGCATCTTTGTAGGAGGGGTGGGGTGGAGAATGGACCAGACATGTCGTACAAGGCAGCTAATTAGTGATGTTTCCTTCGAAGTCAGAGAGCGTCTACCTGAGAGGCAAGCAACCAGCAGTCTGCACACAGATAAGCCAAATCTGTGAAACAGATGTACACCCATGAATCAAGTTCCAGTGCAGGACTATAGTCCAGAAGTGTACAGACAACCAGAACTTTCCGTTTAGAGCTGGTGAATGCTAACAAGAACTACCAAACACTGGCTGTTATCCAGATACGGACACAAATGTTTCTGTTAAAACACGTCATGTAGATCATTTATGTGAAAGCAAAAGATAATGGACAGCCACTGATTGATTTTCTAACATGTATAAAGGCAGTCACTTGCCTAAATATTTGTATAACATGTTAGCCAAGTTGTTACTTGGTTTGTATAACGATTTTTCCCTGCCTCAGGTAATGCTATTGGTGTTGGCCCTGGCGTTATTCAAGTAGATTCCTTTTCTACCATGCCACAGACATTCAACAACATGAACAGAAATCGGTTCAGCCAGCAAAACCCAAGTAAGTTAAAACACATGCTTTTAGAAATTTATTTATTGTATTTCATTTTGGCTGAATATCACAGGATTTATCCCTGTATATTTATAACGGAGCATCTATACACAGTTAGTAGCCACTGTTTACTTCTATGGCTAGATGACAGAATAGAAAGAACATTCTTAGAACTGATTTTGATGTCTCTGGCAAAGTTATTAATTAAATGGAATACATTCCCCGAGGCTTTTAAAACAGCTCGTGCCATGACCTCTACCACCGAGGCATACAGGAAAATGTTACGATCCCAGCTTGGCTTTAATGAAACCTTTTGGCTTGAGGGAAAACCAAAATGCTAATTTTATTTCCTGTATTTATATCTTGAACTCAATGTTTGGACAGGAGCTAAAACAATATTAACTGCATTTTGTAAACAGGTCACCATAGACAAGTAGGAAAGTGACAATTACAGGGAAATTGATCCAGATTAAAGTGCCGGTTTTGCGGCTTCTCAGGACAAAAAGGTTTTTGAAAAATTACTTTTTTTTGCATTAAACAAACTTATTTGTTTTTCTGACAGGTTATCAAAATAATTTTCAAAACAACTTTAATAACAAGGGCCGCGGGAAACCCCAGCAGCAACAGCAGGATGGGAGCGGCTCTCCCAACAATCAGCGACGCAACAACAACAACAACAACCAGGGTGGAGGTGGTGGCAATAGCGCCAGCGGCAGTGGTAGTGGTGTTGGGGGTGGTTACAACAATCAAACAAATTACCAACCCAACAGTCACTTCCAGCAGCAGTCTCAAAATAAACAAGGAGGTATATATTGTGTTGTGATTAGAGTGCTCACTTAATGTCTTCTTTTTCTGCATTCATCCCAAGGCGTACATGTTGTTTTTCGATTGCAGTGCTCTCTTAACATGTCTTATTCTCCTGCATTCCGCTGAAGGCGTAATTGTGCATTTACCCCCAGCCAAAATGTAAAGACCTTTCGTATTGCTTAGATATATAGAAACATGTGTAAACTCCACCTGGCAGTTCTGGTTGTTTACCCACTTCTGGACTTCAGGGTTCGAAAGCTTGAGTCGAACACATCCGTTTCACAGACATTATCCGAGAAGCTAGACATATATGCCACTACCAAGGAGATTAGGTGAATGCATTATATTAGAAAACAAAATTGCTTGCAAAAATTTCAGCCGAACTAGGATTTGAACCTAAGCCTTAGGTATATAGGCTATCCTCTTTGGCGCAGTTTACCTTAACTGATATTTATGAATTTAAAAATTACAAGTTTCCTTATGTATCTTTTTAGTTGTTGTGAATTCAGTCAATCCAATCTTCTGCACACGCTGTCTCTTGTCTTGGTTGCAGACCCTCTGTCTGCTGTTTGATTATCTTGTAACATTTGATGTTTCTCTTTTTTAATGCGTAGTTGATCTCTCTAGCTGTCAATAATTTTGGCATCTTATTGAACATTGAACAGCTAGTCCAGATTATGCAGCAGATAAAATGTTACCGTAATGTTCTCATCTCCAGGTGCAAGTAGGGACTTGCCCCCACGGTTCCAGCGCATGGCCCAGCAGCAGCAGACACAGCAGCCTGGTGTGGGCCTGTCAGGAAGCAACATCATGATATCGGGCTCTGCTCCGTTGGGTGCTCCCAACCAACCCTCGCCTTCGGCTTCCCCACCTCTGTCCATCATTACTCCAGTCACCAATGGACTGAAGGAGGAGGTAAGCCTGCGTCCAGTGAAGAACTTCAATGTGTTCAAGCCGAACACACCATCTATGCTGCCCAGGTCAGCCCAGGCGCAGAATCCAGCTCCCAGAGAGTCCAGCTTCGCCGCCAAGAAGAGCACTGACATCTCAGAGATGCTGAATCCTCTTCTGGACAAGCAGGTGAGTTTGTGGATCAACTCTTTTGGCACCAGAAAACATTTCATATATTTATTCTTTTTTCTTCTGTGTTTGTCCTTAAAAGGTCAGATGGCACGCTGTGTTTACAATATAATACAGCTTAGGCCACTTAAGGTGAATTTCTGATAAGAACTATTTCTACTGCATTGTAGTAGGTTGGGAAAAAAAATATGATTCTTTGCGGTCAACCCTGTCTAATAAAAGCCAGCAATTTTCATAATTTTTTTGGCTGACAAGAATCGCCCTAACTTGTGATTCTGGCCAGGCATTAGGAGTGACAGGCCCTGCAGCACTGTGAGGCATAAATGGCAAGTGAAGTCACTCTCTTTCTGAGCCTGACAACATTACAAGCACCGCAAGCTGACTTCAAATTTTCCTGCAAATTTTCCTGCAACTCTTAGTGATATAGAGGTCACTGCATGTCACCCAGTGTGTTGGCCGCTAGGAACGCATTCCATTTAATGCTTCACTCTGTTTATGTTGATTTATTCCGTTTTTATATCTACATATATTTAGGAAACATTTTAATATGTACATAAACATTTTTAAAAAGAATTATTAGTGACCTAAAAAAAAAGATTTAGAGGATTGCCCATTTTTTTTTTTTTTTTTTTGCGTTGCCGGGGTGAATGGGTAAGAGCAGAACAAGTGCTTCTATATTTAATCAGTCAGTGAGCCAGTGCTTTTGTTTTCCTTCAGCAGCAGCAGCAACCTGCCCTTGCAAAACAAACAAAAGAGGAGAAGACTAAATCACCAGTGAAAGAGAAACTCACTAAAGAAAAAATTGTGGACAAAATTGTAAGTGGCACACCTGTTGTGAAATATTTTATTTGCTGTTTGTAATAAAACTCTTCCCTGTCTGTGGTAATCAGGTAATCATATTTCCAGCTTCCCTGTATGGGTTCTAGGGCCCAGTTATAGGGAAAACAAGAATAAACCCACTGCCTACCCAAAAGCATGTCGTAAGAGTAAACTAATTGGTAGCTTACCTTTGATGTCACAGTGCATCTGCCTGAGAGGCAAGGAACTAGCAGTCTGCATACAAATGACTCAAATCTGTAAAATGGATGCACACATAACACTCATGTTCGGGTTCAGAACTGCAGTCCAGAAGTGGATGAACAACTAGAACTTTCTGCCAGAGTTTACAGCTGGTGAATAAGAAGAAATTTCCAGATTTTCAGCAACAGGTCACCAAATGTTTGCTCTGTTCAAATGCCACAATGGACTGCACAGAATTTCCTCACTGTCCCTTTGAAAATAACAGTTGACACAGACTGCAGTCTCAGCAAATCCAAAAGCATACATACACATTTAATGGACTTTTGTTTTCAAAATGGTGGACAGCAGCGTCTGTCTCCTAATCAGGGACTATTATTTTGTCTGCATTTTTAACGCAATATACTATGTGTTTTTCGTGGGAGCAGCGTGTATTGTGGTTGTGCTATGTCTGGACGGATAAGGACTGATAGTTTTGGCAGCCTCGAGCACGCTGCCTTCGCAATGTTTTGATTGATGCGGTCCACTGGGGAAGACAGAATGTCGTCAGCAGGGGATTTCAACTGTCTAGAGAGCAAACTCAATAAAAGCTTTCCCCAGAAAAAGAATGTGTCAACAATTTTTGTGTGTGGGTTGGGCAGAATCGACACATGTGGATAACTCAGTGGCCATGGCCAAACACATTTAGTGCATAAGGCAGTCATCAGAAGTGCCAACACAGTCGAGGATCATGAAATTGTTGAACACATAAATTAGCCTTATTGTTGTTCTGGTAACGAGTAAGCTTCACTCTTTTCAAATTTTTAAAATTTTATTACACCTATTATATATTTAAAAAAATATTTAACACAAATGTTAAAAAAAAAAAATTTAATATAAAAAATTTTATGGTTGACTTTTTTGTTTTTCAAAAGGATTTTTGCCTGCAATTCCCATGTGGTCCATCTGTGAGCATTGAGAGTGAAAAAAAAAATTTGCAGAGAGTTTCAGTTTATGAGAATAAAGTTGCAGTGAAGTGTTTCTTGGGATGCATGATAATGCAAAGACTGCATTTGTATGCTGAATGAAATCAGCCAGCCAAATTATTTGTTGATGTTATATTATCTTACTGCCTGCAGATCCGAAGGTTATGGGCTTAGATCTGGATGGTGCTGGGCTGTTTTTTTTTTTTTAAACAAAAGACTTCCAGATCGACCCAGTCCTAAATTGGTTCCAAGTAAAAGTACTGTGAAGTATTTAGAGGCTCGCATGATGCTGATCACATCACCCACTCCGTGTTCACTGGCTGCATACTCCAGTGAAAAGTTCTGGTTGTTAATCCACCTCTGCACATTTCATTTGACAGATCTGGCTTATTTAATGCAGACTGTTGGTTTTGAAGAAGTCCCTTATTAGTCAACTTTTACGACAGGCTTTGTGAAACAATGGGTGACTTTATACGTCCAACTCTGTATGATCAACACGCCTAAAAGGACGTGGAAAAAGCTCCTTTAATTTCTGTATCTATGCCCTTTTACAGACAACACTGATGTCACAGTGCCATGTCAACCACAATGTGGCCGATGCCGTGGCAGACATCAAAGACATGAACATCCCACGCAGGATGATACCTGAGCTCCTGGCTAAAATCATGCTGGACTCTCTAGGGAAGACAGGTGAGAGATTGGGGCATTTCACCTGCATTTACTTGTCACTTCTTTCTGCTTCTGCCCTTTACCTCTACTGGAGCTTCTTTTATTTCTGTGGTTTGTCAATTGTCTTCTTTGTTTTTTTTTGGTTTGTCAGTTGTCTTCTTTATTCTGTGGTTTGTCAGTTGTCTTCTTTGTTGTTTCTGTGGTTTGTCACAGTTTCTATTAGAATATCAATGGTTTTCAGTTTTCCTAATTTCTACTAGAAACTCAGTGGTTTGTCAGTTATCTTGATTTCTCCTTGAATCTGTATTTTACCCTGTATGTAGATCATCATTGAAGCTACAGAGTTTGTGTGCATGGCACTGTCTCCAGGAGCATAACGTGCGGAGTGACTGAGCCATATTGGAAAAAATCTCCTGACTTTAAAATTTTAGGCTATCAGTTGAGGTGACAGAGTTCCTAAATACTAGATTCATTTTTGATGTATAGTCCTGGAGGTTTCTGCAACAGCCAGGTTGGCAGAGGCAGTTTGAGGTAACAACAGATTTTAGTTGATCTGTGATTGGTGAGTCACTTATTGTGATAAGAATGTGACATTGTTCTGCAGTTGAAAATGAACTTATCTCTGGTGCCTCTACTTACCAGAGTAGAAAGTAAAATGTATCGAAGAATTTTGTGTGTGGATGTGTGTGCATCTTATCTATCTGTCTTGAAGAGTTGAAGATCTGATTTGCTTGTAGTTAACAATGAAATGTGTGATTTCAGATGTAGAACAGGAGTTGTCAATGAAACTGATAGATGACCTGAAGTCTGAAAATGTCATCTCATCGGACCAGTTCATGGAGGTAAGGACAGGCACAATTAACATAATGGAAGCTTGGTGACTGTTCTTGTATATGCTAGTGTGCATATTTGTTTGTGTGTGTGAGAGAGAGAGAGAAAGAGACCCCTTGTGACAAATGGATATATTTACATTTCATTGTGACTGCTTATGTCACCATAGATCTGCATATACACTTATTGAATTTTGTTTAAGAGCTGCTTTCAGAAACCCATTGAGCAGTCCTTTCTTTCTCTTCATGGACTGAGCAAAATGTCTGCTTTTAATCTGGATGCCACCCGCTTTGCCACCTGTAGAACAAAGATAGCATCACCATTGTGCGGCTGTAACATATTATGTGACTGATTGACGTTCAGCCCCACCAGGACATCACACCGAGCGATAAACACATGTTGACACAAAGTGCCACCACTGGGATGAGGATCACCCAGAAAAAAGTCCCAGAAACCCATAGGATGTGTGATATTAGGGCTCTCTGCAACAACCAGAGTGGGGCCTTAGAATGAAAAAAAGAAGGCATCCCTTATTGGGACTTTAGTTACTAACAATGTTCTGTAAAAGGGTTGTGGTTAACTGTAAGTCCATGCTGGGTGGCATTGGTAGTCATGTCCATCCACAACCTTCTGTCTGTACTTTCAGTCAGTTCTGACACAGACATTCTTTCATGCCATTATGTCAGACTGTCCAGCATGTTCTTTCTGTCATCCTCTGCATTTTTCTTACCCCCTTCCAACTATCGCAGCCACACTGAACTCATGTTCTACTTGTGATGACGTGATCAAAGAATCTAGATTGCCCTTTTCTGTTGTGGACAATTATTTCTCTACATAAGTCTCTTTCAAGATATCTATCTTCATTACGCTTTTTTTAAAATCTGTCAAGGGTATTCTGGTAATTCATCAAAAAAAAAACCCACATCTCTGCTGCTTCCTAGTAATTGTTCACTAATTGCCCAACTGCCATTCATTTCCATATGTTAAAGTTTAACTTTAAAGTTAACCAGTAAAGACGAGAGAAGTTACATGTTCAGTCTGAAGATGTAAAGATCCCAGCACTGCTGGCAACAAAAGCACCGTCACGTGCGTGCATGCATAAGCTTGAGATATGTTTCATAAGACAAAAGAGTGTAACCCTGGAGACCAGTTCATGAATTTTTTGATTTTTTTTCAAACAGGGTTTTAGACAGGTGTGCAACCACATGAGTGAACTTGAAACAGACATCCCCCTGGTGAAGTCACATGTGGCACAGTTTGGGGCCCTGGCAGCCACTTTGGGCCTGGTGTCCCTAAAAGAACTGTCTGAACCATTTGAGGGCGGTGTCCACTATCCGCTCTTCCTACTGTGCCTGCAGCACATGCATAAGATCAAGGACAAGCAGTGGTTGGTCGATACATTCAACAGGAGCAAACTGGATCTGCAGAAGATGTTGCCAGGTAAGATGTTTGCCAGATTGTCTTTGTAACCACCTCTTGTATAGAGAACCAACCTTTCAGTAGCAGTTAGTGAATGTACAATTGCCCAGAAAGCTACACGCAGCTAACAAAAGATGGGCTGTTTTTCAGTGCCCTGCAAAGTATGCGCGCTAAATTAAAATTAAGGTCTAGACAGTCCCAAAGTTAGCCCCCCCCCCCCCCCCCCCCCCCCTGTTTTTTTTTAGGAACACAGCTTAATAGTGGATTTCTTGCTAGATATTGTTAGAGTATTGCAGATTTTCAGCCTTTTACTGATTCTAAATTATGGTTTGAAGTCATTTACTTCCCTCGCTTCCTTTTTGGGTTGGAGGCCCCAGCTTGCAGGAAACAGAATGGACTCACTGCCTCTTGATGTGCATTCAGAATCAGTTTCTGTACCAAGACTAAACTGCAGAAGTGGATGAACAGCCAGAACTTTCTGCCAGAGTTAACAGCCAGTAAATGCTAAGAATAAGAAAAAATGTTTTGCATGCATTATTGATTCCCTCCTGCATTTATTGCAACAGTCTATAGTAACATGGATTATATCAAACTCTACAGAACTGGACCAGCGTAAAGAACGCATGCTGGAGATCCTGGAAGACCGTGGCCTGAGCTTCATTTTCCCTCTGTTGCGTATCCAGGCTGAGCTGGGCAGGCAGATAGCTGCAGAACCTGTGGCTGCCTCATTGTTCAAGTGGATTAAAGAAAAGGTTGACCCATCCCTGCAGTCGGATCCTGGATTCATTAATGTCCTGGTGACCTGGTAAGTAAGCGGTGTGTTCTCTGTTGAAACTTGACTACCATACACAGATTGATACATCTGATCTTTTTCTACTGCATTCTGAGACCCTGAGGATCATTGCTACAGATGTCATCCATCTCCAATCCACTTCTCTGTCCAGCTGGTCACTCCAAATGTTTGTACGTCTGCTTGTATATTATATCACCAGTCTTCTTGGTCAGCCATGTGGTTTTCTCCCATTTAGCTCTTTCCTACACAATATTTGTCTCTGTTATCTGCCATTCCCTCCCTCTGTATGCCTCAGCCATTGGATTCGTCGAGGTTTTAGTTTCACTGCAGACGGCTTCTCCATAAATGCTTCCTGCTTGTGCTAATGGAAATGGCACCAAATTTCCTCCACTGTCCCATTTCAAAACTAGTAAAAAAAAACATGCCAGCCACAGCAAAATCTTGAAGTTCGCTCATGCAGAGTATATACATAAGGCAGCCACCATATGTGCCAGCATTGACCAGAATGACAGGTTACAGTTGATGCGAGCAGTCAGTTATGAAAGCCAACAGTGTACACTCACCATTCCATACATAATCGACCACCTGCTATTTTTAATGTGGATCACAACATAGATGTCGCTGTCTCAACAGAAGAGGAAGCAAAACATTAAACATGAAACACAGCTTACAACATCATACCAATAGTAACCTCAGTAGCTGGGTAACAAAACCTTATATCTTTGCTGGGTCCCTTAAAAAAGTACATGGAAGGAAATCATATGAGCTTTATTACTACTCCCATTGTCATTTTCTTACTTAAATAACATAACTTGCAGGAGGGAAATATAAAACTAACTGATTATCTTTTCAGCATTCTGAAATATATAACATCTGAGAGTACACTTAAGGACAATGCTGACGTGACACTCACCCCAGAGAAATCTCTCATGGACAAGGAGAAAGAGCTGCTGGAGAAACTCAAGGTAAACTGGTTTAAATCTTGATTTCTTTCAGAAAAACTAGTGTGTGAACTAGCTGTCTGCTCGTGTAACTTAAAAGTTATGAAATCACTGACACAGAGAACAGATCTTTTCAGTTTTTGTTGGTAAATCTTCTGAAATTCCCATTTCTGTAGCATCAGTTTATGATATATGGTATTCAGGAAATAATATCTCTGAAACCAAGCTGGAACCATTGTCTGATGTTACCTTTTTGATTATTAATGTCTGTCGAATCCAGGACTTCTGGACAGACAGGAGAGTGTTTAGCCACAGTGCTCTCACAGCCTCTTTATCATTGAGTCCGTCACCAGAATGTATGTGGTGTGAAGTGGATCTTATGTTTAAAGCAGTGTAGAAAGAAGAGTAGACATCTAATGTGCATGAATATATACTACTCAAAAAAAAAAAAATAAATTAAGGCAACTACTGAAGGGAACCTAGTTTTGTCATAAGTTGAACATTGAAAATCTGTGTAATTTATTTAGTGCAATTGCTCAGATCGCACAGAAGGATACCTTAGGGTTCACCAGTCATTTGACAACTGCATCTGGACCTGTTTGCATGAGGACCATCAATAGTTTGTGGGCGTACAGGTTTCCCTGTCAACTAATTGAAACGTGCCATCGTATAACTATACACTTTTTTTAACAGTGTATCTATTGTTGATGCCTGTCTTGACAGGGTGTCCTGCATAGTTAACAGTACATTTATTGTTGATGCTTGTGTCTTTGACAGGGTGTCCTACAGCTCTTCTTACAAGACCACTCAAACCTACAGATGGCTGCCTTGTATGCTGTACAGGTGTTCTGTTACACAAACCAGTTCCCCAAAGGTAAGCTGCAGATTTGGCAGACAGCTTTCATAGCTTCATTAGCATGGTATCTTTAGCCTTCGGCATGCTATGGCTTTCTGTCTCATTACAGTCATACCTGTCAATCTTTAGCTGTCTCATTTACATGAATAGCTGTCACATAATCTTGAGCTGTCTCATGGCATGTCAGCTGTCACATAACATATAATCTTTAGCTGACTCATGGTATGGTATTTCAGCTGTTACATAACATAATATTTAGCTGTCGCATAGCATGTCAGCTGTCACATAACATATAATCTTGAGCTGTCTCATGGCATGGCATATCAGCTGTCACAAAACATATAATATTTAGCTGTGGCATGGCATATCAGCTGTCACAAAACATATAATCTTGAGCTGTCTCATGGCATGGCATGTCAGCTGTCACATAACATATAATCTTGAGCTGTCTCATGGCATGGCATATCAGCTGTCACATAACATATAATCTTGAGCTGTCTCATGGCATGGCATATCAGCTGTCACATAACATATAATCTTGAGCTGTCTCATGGCATGGCATATCAGCTGTCACATAACATATAATCTTGAGCTGTCTCATGGCATGGCATATCAGCTGTCACATAACATATAATATTGAGCTGTGGCATGGCATGTCAGCTGTCACATAACATATAATATTTAGCTGTCATATAGCATAGCATGTCAGCTGTCACATCACATATCATCTTTAGGTGTCTCATAGCATGGCTTGTCAGCTGTCACATATTATCTTTAGGTGTCTCAGCATATAATCTTTAGCTGTTTCATAGCATGACATGTCCAGCCGTCACATAATATATCATGTTTAGGTGTCTCTGGCATTGCATGACCAGTTGTCACATGATCTTTAACTGTCTCATAGCATATCCTTAGCTGATGTTTTCCATATATTTTGACTTCTAGAGACCATTTTGAATCATTTCTTCAGACCTAATTTACCTAATTTAATATATGCCTTACAAGATAATGATGTTCAGAAGTGATACTACACGGCGGAGGAAGAGTGCCCAAGGGTCCATAAAATATGTCTGGCACTATATACCTGCGGAGCCGAAGGCTGAAAAGGGTCATTTAATGTCTCAGACATGAACCAGAAACTTTTCTACGGTCCACTGAAGTTGTTCATCAGCGGTCTCACAAGACTGTTGCCTCTTGAAGCAACATGTGGCCACACCTAGTAGACCTGACAACTAAGCTTTATGGAAGCCTAAGAAACTTTGAGCTGACATACCAGTTTTATGGCCTGTTGTGGACTAATGTTAAAGTGCATGACCAGTGATCACTATCACTTAAAATGATATTAAGATGTAAGTTTTTTAATGTGTATATACCTGCTTTCTGTTTGCTTAGCATGTAATCGGTGATAATTAACCTGCCTCTTCTTATTTGTTCAAGGTATGTTCCTTCGTTTCTTCGTCAACTTGTACGACATGGAGGTGATTGACGAGGAAGTTTACCTGCGCTGGAAAGAGGAGGTAAACGACCAGTACCCAGGCAAAGGAAAGGCATTGTTTCAGGTAAGCTCATTTGATCACACAGCGGTGCCTGAGAATCTGTTGCAAGATGGCTTTCGAATTCCAAATCATTTGAGTTCCGAGGCAGTTTTTCCTCATTTAAAATCATGTTAATTAAATTAATCTGTTCCAGGCTCCAACAAACTCACATTTTAAAATGTATTTTCATAAATACAGTGCACTGTAAATATAGTAACGCATGATCATATTTGAATACAAACTTAAATAATAATTTAAAAAAAGTTATATAAACACTGAACAGTGTTTACAGTATGTTAATACAAATTGTGACATAGCAAGTAGAAGTAGTGGGAGGAAGTGGGATTTAGGGAGGTTATTTAGTGGGAGGAAGTGGGATTTAGGGAGTTTATTTAGTGGGAGAAAGTGGGATTTAGGGAGGTTATTTAGTGGGAGAAAGTGGGATTTAGGGAGGTTATTGTTTGGAGAGTGCCACCTTCCGTGATAACATCAGGAATCCTTTCTGGTGTTTCATATTGTAGTCAGTGGCTCACCTCGTGTACATGGTCATAAGGTCACCAGTTTTTGTTGACAGCCAGCATTCATAGGTGGTCTGGTGTTAACTACCATACTTTTCTGTAATGTTAGATAATGTTAGGTTAACACACCTGTTCACTGTAGCTCTGTAAGGGTGCCACATCTTACCAAATTCTTGCTTTTTTAACCAACCAGTCAAAAGCTCTTCTATTTCAGCAGTGGTAATCATACCTGCTTCCCTCTCTTTCTCCCTGGAAGAAATTTTTTCTGCATTTTTTCCCTTCCGTGGGTTAAGGTGGTTAAGCTCTTGTGTTGTTAGCTCAGTTGCATGATTGCCACGTGCCAGGCATTTGGTTTCCAAGGCGCGTTCGAGGCGAAATTTACTTGTGATGTTGATGAACAAGAGGTTGGATTATATAAATATGCACACAGAATAGTGATCATGGCGAGAAAGTGTTGTCTTGTATACAGCTACTACTGATCAGTGCATTTGGGACATGGACAATAAGGCAAGCTAAGATATTTTATTTGGCGCATAAGTCTATATTCTGAAAAAGCTGATACTGGCAGTGCACCATTGATGTATTTCTCAGCTGTCTCCAAGCTCGTTAGAATGATACATTAGGCTTTTGCTTTTACATTGAGGAGCGTCTGGCCAAACTGTTGAAACGTTAGGCTGTCAAGCCAGAGACCTGGCTTCCAATCCTCGGTAAGGCTGTGGATTTTTTTCTTTTTGAGGCAAAATAAGATCCTTACCTGCACAGCCGTGGCGACAATCACCAGCCATGCGGCCGTAAAATCTTCAGTATCAAAGACACCCCCCTTCTCTGCCTACACTGCAAAAGTTGTAATAAATGCAGTTATTGGCAGTTTTTTGTTGTTGCTTTCACATTGCATGTGTCTGTTTTGTATGTCAACATTTATTTGGCTCTGTATGTATTTTTTATTTGTTGCTAACATAAAGTTTAGATTTTTTTGTTTTTGTACAAATGCATTTTACATGACTGATTTTATTTTCAGGTTAACCAATGGCTAAACTGGTTGGAACAAGCAGATGACGACGAGGAATCGGAGGAGGATGAATAAAATTCATTACCATCTTCGTTTCTAAAGTCCTGCTACACAGTTTGATCTTTTTTTAATCAGTCGTGGCCAGAGACTGTTCAGCTCCTCCACGTCGCATTTGCTGGCGTTTGCCGCCAAAATAACCAATGACTCTTTGGACCATGTGGACATTTTCTCTCGTCTTGTTTCCGATTTGATGTTGTTAGGTGTAGGTTTCATGCCGGTTGTAGTCCAGTGATCCAGATCTAGACGTTTCTAGCACTTCCATATGCATTTAGCACCAAAGTAGCCGAACAATGCGTTTATAGACATGTTAACGAACTAACACACTTACATGTGTGCAGGACCTGAAAGTTTTGTATGTGATTGTGTTAATGAAATTCCTGTAGAGGTCTGTGATGTTATTGTCAAACAAGAGTTGGATAATTAACTTTGTTGGAAATAATTTTAAAAAATATATATAACAGCTGCCGCAGCTGGGGTTCAAATAATTTCAAAATAGCGGTGAAACTCGATAGATCTGAAATTGCCCGTGGTGGGCCAGATGGCAGCAGTGGACAGCCACACGGCGAGGCACCTGATGCTTGGCTAGGAAGTGGTGTGTTTTGTATGATTGTGCTATTTCAACAAAAATTGTAATATAAAATTATACATTGGAAGTACATTATTATATTCTTGTATCAAGAGTCATGGACTTTGGGGGTGTCAACGTTTGAGACTCTGCAACCCCAGACACTATTCAGCCATTATCATTATCATCATCATCAAGTCCTTTGTAATGTGTGTTAGTTCTGATGTAGTTTTTTTTTATCTTGTATTTATTGTACTCAGTAGATGTTTGTTGGGGAATTGGTTTCAATTTGGTCAGGTTTTGCATCTTTTTATCGTTTTCCTCCCTCAAATGAAATTATAGGTGATCTTCTTGTTAAAGATGTGATCATTAAAAAATTGAGATATGGGCTCATTTTCTGCAGATGCAGCAGTTTTATTTCCTGGTGGGGTTGGGTTGCATGTGTGTGTAGATTTAGTGACCTTTTTTTTCCCCCTGTGAATTTCTATTGTTTTCTCTCCCAGTGGAGCACAGGCCTTCGTCTCGCTCCTGCCAAGTTTCTTTATGGCCTTATTCATGATTGGGCAGATTGTGCAGCTAAAAGTTTTATACGGAATAATTTAACCAGCCAGTTGTTTTGTTACTTCCTTTATGTGGGTAAATTTCTGTTTATGATCGACTGGCTGTAGGGGTCGTAGTGACAGGCATACTAGTGTAACCTTAGACCCTTTTTAACCCTTAACGGGTGAGCAATTCCTCATTTATTACTGTTAACATTAACATTTTTATCTTTTTGTTGTTCTGTGTAAAGTCAGTTCAGCTAATTTTGTTTTTAAATTGTAAACTGTATTATTAAACAAGGTTATAAGATAATTTTTGCCTAAGAATTTCAACCATGACAGAATGAAGTCAACAGATGAGTGAAAAATGAAAGAATAACTGATTATACATCAGTCTTCAATGCCAGTCCTAATGTTTGTTTGTTTTCACCATCTGGAGGTATGAATTGTAACTTTTTCTTCTTTAATCAATCTCTGCTTTGTAGCACTAAGCCCTGCAGTCTTTTCTCTACTCCTGGAATGCCTTGCCTGCATCCTGTCAGGAAGAGAGTTCTGAAACAGGCCCTGCCCTCCGCTTCACATATATATATATTTTCTGCATAGTTTACCTCTGGCTCTATTACAGCTGTATCTGGATAACATTGCTGTCTGTGGTGCTCTTATCTGTTGCCAATCTTGTTGCATGACCAAACCATTTTGATCATTCTACTGTGCCGACTCCTGATTTCATCATTCTCAAGACAATCTGTCCTTGTTACCCCTAACAATATGAAAACATTGCCGCTTAACAGATACTAGATAGCTAAGCCAGTGTCTGCTCAGCTGCTTGGTATGAAGAGATGTAAAGTTCCAGGCTATAATTGACTCAGTCAGTCCACATTCTTCCAACTCTTCCTCTGCCACTTGATGTTTCTATTTTATGTAGCTCTTCAGTACCCTTTTTAAAGCTTTTAACTTAGTGCTGAGGTATCTCTCTCCTAACACTTTACCAGAGTACTATCTCCACAGCCTTTTCTTCTCCAAGGCTTAAAAACAATCAGGGTGTTCAAGACAGTTTACATATACAGACAGACACACATTAGGATATAACCTCAGCATTATCTTGACCAGTTTTGGTATCACCTTTCCTTTGAATTAAACAAGGCAGGCCGAGAGAGGGATCCTGCTGCCTGGGCAGTTCATCATCTCTGCACTACTGCTCAGGCTTTGTGCTATGGAGAGCAAGGACCTCTTTTCCTGGCCTTCATTGGTATCACCAGGGGCTGTGATTCCTCTGTCTTTTTACAGCCCAATATCACCCGGAAAGGTGCCCACAGAAGATTCATCCCAGTACAGGATAAAGCCTAAGATGTTGATGTTTCTTCCATAGGTTTTACGTTTCATTGTCCGGCTTAATTTTCATGATTGGTGACCTTTGGTTTAGTATCAGGTCGGCAAATGACATACCGCCTTAAATAAAATTCTGTGGGGTGGAACAGAATATTCTTGAATATTCTCTGATTTAATAAAAGTTAATTCTTCCATCAATCATGAGTTTGTTCTGCCTGTCTGCACATTTCTGTCCTGCCACAAATCGCTCCCATCAGTTTGTTTGTGAATAAATTGCATACCCAAGAATCACCGGTCATATGTTTAAACATATCCTATATATGTCTACACAAGAGTTAACACATACGTCACCTTTTGTCATAAAGGTCTACACAAGACCCATATGTACGTGTTACATGTCATATGTCACCTTTTGTGATAGTCTACATACGTATGAGTTACACACAAGTTACCTTTTGTCATTAGGTCTGCACAAGACCCACACATATGAGTTACACACGTCACCCTTTGTCATAAGGTCTACACAAGACCCACACATATGAGTTACACACGTCACCCTTTGTCATAAGGTCTACACAAGACCCACACATATGAGTTACACACGTCACCCTTTGTCATTAGGTCTACACAAGACCCACACATGAGTTACACACGTCACCCTTTGTCATAAGGTCTACACAAGACCCACACGAATGTCCATACATTCAAGAAGCACACTTGTCATTCATTTATCCAGGGTTTGTTAACATCACTTTTGCCTGTGCCAAAAACAAACCAAATCCACTGATCTGCACACATTATCTGCTGGCGTCTACAGTCCAGTAGGGTCTGTGGGCGGCCATATCTGCCTTCCAAAAAGGAATTAACTGCTAGAATATTTATTTTGTAATATGTAATAAATGTCATAACTGCGAGCGCTTGTGTATCTTCTCTCTTATTCTGTCTACCCTTGTCTGCCGTCATTCTCTCTCTCAATCCATCCCCAATTGCCAATCTATATCTGTCTTCATTTTTGTCTCATTGTTCCTCTCTTCCTCCCTCTCTAATATTATCTGCAATTCTTGAGGATGTTTTTACAAAAATCCGCTAGCTCTTGATCTGTCATGCAGAACCATCTTGTGTAAGAATGAGCCTGACAGAATGAAAAATGCCTCATTTGATAGAGTTCTCGGGCTGTTGACAGTTATCAAAAGTGTGGGTTATGGATACCACTGCCGCACTGGGGACACATATAAAGTGCAGACATAAGAACTTATCTGGGATGCAGGAAATATTTTATCTTATCAGAAATGTCTCTTACGCTGACAAGAGATCAAACAAGAAAATTGCAGGTGTAATCAAAAACCTTCACAAAATATTTCACCAAATCTTAGATCGTCTTGAGCCGTCTGCCCGGTATATTGCAATACCCTTCCACCAAGCAGTTGTTGAGGATATAACAGCAAAGAAGACTTATTCAGTAATCAAAACTTGAGAATCACGTGCAGTCACGTGACAGGGTTACCCTGGAATGAACAAACACCAAAGAGAGTCACTAAGGGCACTTCTGCGTTTATCCTAAAAATTGCGGTTGATATACTGTTTGTCATTGACAGCTTGGCTGTGTTATCTTCTCATTTTGGCCAGCTCGACAGCTCTGATTTCAGCCCATCCCCAGTTATTCAGTTTTTATGATATGCTTGATAGGGGGCAGGTCTTACGAATATCTGTCAGTTTGACATGAGGGAATTAAGGAGACTTGTACAAGACACGGACAGAAGTTGCCACATTTACGATCTTTCCATAGGAATGTTATGTTTCTTGATTATCTTCAAGTGCATACGAAGTGCATACAGTACTGCTCAAAATTATGGTGCCCAAAAAGGGAGCCAATACTTTGCAGCCGGAAGAAAAAGCCCTGGCAATTGCCATGAAAAGCGTGCATTTTTTCATGGAAATACTTTTCCCATGAAAAGAGTGCACCTAAATAACTATTCCCTTGTAAAGAGTGCACATATATTTGGAAATACTATTCCCATTAAAAGATGCACCTGTATAAAAATACTATTCTCATGATAAGTGCACCTAAATGGAAATACTATTTCTATGAAAAGAGTGCATCTATATGAAATGATACAATTCCTATGAAAAGAGTGCACGTATATTGGAATATTGTTCCCATGAAAAGAGTACACCTGTATATGGAAATACTATTTCCATTAAAAGATGCACCTATAAAAAAAATACTATTCTCATGAAAAGTGCACCTATATGGAAATACTTCACCCCCCTCCCTGAAAAGTGCATATATGGAAATATTGTTTCCTTGAAAACAGTGCACCTATATGGATATTCTGATCCCATGAATAGTGCTATATGGAACACTACAAATCCCATGAAAAGTGCACTTATATTGAAATACTATTCCCATTAAAAGTGCACCTATATGGAAATTCTTTTACTGTGAAAAGGGCGCCTATATGGAAATACTTTTACTGTGAAAAGTGCACCTATATGGAAATACTATTCCCATTAAAAGTGCACCTATATGGAAATATACTATTCCCATGAAAAGTGCACCTATATGGAAATATTATTCCCAT